GTTACGTGGGCTCCTGTGCCATCTGCCAGCGGAACAAGCCTTCAAGAAATAAGGCGTGGGGCCTGCTACGTCCATTACCCATCCCTGAACGGCCCTGGCAGAAAATCTCTATGGACTTCATAGTCGAGCTTCCACCTTCACTGGACCACACAGCAATTCTCGTGGTCGTGGACCGTTTATCCAAGATGGCCCATTTCATTCCTTTACGGAAGACTCCATCAGCAGTCGAGACGGCGCAAGCTTTTATTCGAGAGGTTGTTAGACTGCATGGGGTCCCCGAAGACATCGTCTCGGACCGAGGGGTGCAGTTTACCTCGAGATTTTGGAGGGCATTGTGCAAAGCCCTGGATATCAAGCTATCCCTTTCCTCGGCATTTCACCCTCAGACCAATGGTCAGACCGAAAGGACCAATCAGACCCTAGAGCAATACTTGCAATGCTACACATCATTCTCTCAGGACGACTGGGTGCCACTTCTCCCTTTGGCGGAATTCGCGTACAACAACGCTTGCCATTCAGCAACAGGGCAGTCCCCTTCTTCTCCAACTATGGGTTTCACCCTGTCTTCCTCCCGGATTTAGTCCCGGAATGCCCAATTCCAGTGACACAGGATGCACTAACTTTTTTCACTTCAAACAATAAAAAAACTACAGGAAGCCATCCGTCAAGCCCAAGAAGACTACAAGAGGGCTTTTAATAGGAAGCGAAGAGGGGATCTGGTGTTGCGGCCCGGAGAGAAGGTTTGGCTGGCTACATCGAACTTGAAGATGCTCTGCCCGCCAAAAAAGTTGGGGGACCTAAATTTATAGGCCCTTTTTGCATCAAACGGATGGTCAATGAAGTGGCCTATGAACTTGTTCTCCCTGAGACACTCAAGATCCACCCTGTCTTTCACGTGTCCCTGTTGAAGCCGGTAGTCCCTGATGCCTTCCCGGAACGGGAATCCAGGCCCCCGGAGGCCGTAACAGTCGAAGAGGAAGAAGAATTCGAGGTGGAGACAATCCTGAAGTGCCGACGAAGGGGGGCCAGACCCAATTTCTCATCAAGTGGAAGGGCTACGGCCCTGAGGACAATTCGTGGGAACCAGCCCATAATGTCCATGCACCTAGACTTGTCCGGGGTTTCTTTATGTGATCACCCGTGGTGGAGAGATCGGGTGGGCATCCGGAGGTTGCCCGTAGGGGGGGGCAATCTCAGGGATCCCCTCGATCCCTGCCGCGATGGTCCCGGCGCAGGCGCACTGCTCCGCCCTGTGCAGGGACACGGGCACTAGGTCCGGGCTGGCCACGGCGTTCGAGTTCGCGCATGCGCAGTAGAAGCCGCGGGCCGCCCGCTGGGCACCAATGGCAGCGCAGGGCGGGATATTTAAATGTCCCTGAGCTGTCATTTCATTGCCTTCTGCTCTTACCTGCTTCCTGTGATTCTGAATCTGTGCCTTGTAAGTTATTTGACCCGGATTGTTCTTGACCTGCTGATTTCTCCTGCCCAGACCCTTGCTTTGCCTGACCTCTCTCCCTGGATGCCCCTCATTAGATCTAACCTACTGTTGCTGACCTGGCGTGTGACCCGACGATTCTCTGCCTGCTCCTTGTACCTTACCGTCCTCTACGTTACCAACTCGGCCTGTCTGACTTCGCACTTGCTCAGCCATCCATCCATCCCATCGGGGTCACCCGACCTCCTCACATCTGGCTCTCCCTGGTTGGAGCCCCTGGCGAACACCCCTACCACTGACAGGTGTGCTCAGTAGTGGCGACCTGGTCCCGGGGTACTACAAGTCCATCCCCACCATCAGGGGCCCTGGTGAACAAGTACCCCTGGGGCTTAGACTCCGCGCTCTGGGCACGCCTGACCGGTGGAGTGCTAGTGGTGCCGCTCGGCGGTCCCTCACAGCAGGAGTTTTGGTGTGCTTTTGGAGAGCGCACCAAAACCGTGGGACACACAATGCAACTGTATGAGAAAGCACAGCTAACCCAAACCAAACCCACGGGAAGGCTGCGCTGCTTCTGCAGTGTGGTCAAACCACACCAGAACAGTGTGAATGGGATCTTCAACACTGGAGCTTCATGCAACAGGGGGCCAAACACCCAGTGTGCATGAAGCCTATCTATAGTTTTTTCTGTGTGTCTGTGTACGATCATCTCTCAGCATTGGAAGGATAACCTGTTTTGATGCCAGAGATTCCAAGCTTCTACCCTCCTTCCAAAAAAAATAAAAAAAACACAACAAAAGTACCACCAGACCCATAATATTGTTACCAATGAAGTCTGGAGAGAGAGACACAATTTAAGATTGTTCATATGGCCTACATCCCATCACTGATCACTCCCGACAATCCTTTGCTCTCTTTTTGCTCGTGGTGTGGCTCCCACCATCCTACTCTGGCATACCGCCTTTGGTCCTGCACTGCCATTACTGCTGGGATCAAGTACTGACATATGATCACGGAGTCACATTCATTGTGCTTCCCAAGGACTCTATGCTCTGGCTCTTTGGGTGTGCCAGGGATCGCGGGCGACAAGCGGGTCTGCGCATGCGCAGAACGCCGATCCATTCTAGCCGGCGGGCACTAGGACCTGGGTGGCGGCGGCCACGCATGCGCACTCGCGATCACGGATGCTCGCCTGGCACCAATGACAGGGCAGGGCGCACTATTTAAACCTGCCCTGCACAGACTCTCATTGCCGTATGGTCTATTCATCCTGTGTTCCTGTTCCTGTATACCTGCTGTTGTGACTTGTTGCTGACCCTGCCTGATCCTGACCTCTGCTGACTTCTCCTGCTCTGACCCCTGGCTCGTTTGACTTCTCTCCTGGATATCCCTATTTGATCTGAACTCCTGTTACCGAACCCGACGAGTGACCTGACTACTCTTTTGCCTGCTGCCTTTTACTACACTGACCCCACTGTTACCGATCCTGCCCATCTGACCACGCTCACTACTCTCCTATCCATCCATCCTGCACGGATCCAGTCATCCCTGCTCCAGCCTTCCGCCTCTTCACGTCAGGCTCTCTACCTGCATACACCTCTGGCGGATCCCTCTACCACAGGCAGGTGTACTCAGGGGCCGCGACCTGGTCACTGTCATCTCCAAGTCCATCCCCACCATCAGGGGGCCCTGGTGAACAAGCAGACTGGGACTCCGCACTCTGGGGAATCCTGTTCTGTGGACTGCTAGAGGTACCGCCTGGTGGTTCCTGACAGGGTGTGCCCCCCAGACCTCTGACATCTCACCCTCTTTCTCTGCTAGACTCCCCCAATGGATGTTCCTCTGCTTATTAACTGCACACAGGACTAATCTTAAAGCCTAGACCTCATCATCAATTCCATTAGTTACAGCAGTTAAAAAGGAACTGAAAGCTCTTATGTATACTAAGCTGGACACTATAACTGAGAACTTTGGGTCCACAAAAAGTTTTTTTACACGATGGAAGTCATTTATGGAACACTTCTTCTCACTCTCGGAAATCCATCTTCTCATGAAGCCATTCCAATTCACGGACTGTTATGCCACAGCTAATCTCACCAATTCTTTAGGAAGGCTGAAAATACCAGATGCTACTTCATCGTGCTTACTGGTCTACCTTTCTTTGTCCTGAATGCGATATCTCAGTAGATGTTATCTTCACTGTCGTTTAATAATTCCTTTTTTTTCTTCCCACTTGCCTGATTGTCTCAGGGCCATAGGGTATGCTTAGGTATTTGTGTGATTTGGTACTCTCTTTGTTAAGCACTTATCAGTTAGGGTGTACCTCATCTTTGCCTTCTATACATTTACTAGTCTTAGCATGCATATGTGGCACAATATATGTGCCACCTCCCTAGGTCTTCCGTTAGCAGCAAGGAACCCTGATCAAAGTTTTGTCTATTTTCTATTGGCTTTTTTTTCACTACCGCTCTGTTTATTGCCATAGATTGTCTAATATGATCTTGCTGTTGTTTTTATAATGCTGTATTCTTGTCTCTATGCCACTGAGGTGCATTCTTGAGCCTACTTTTGCTCCCTGCTGTATTGTACCTTTTTGACTTTTGAAAACGTTTAAAAAAAATAAAAGAAAAAAAAGACTAGCTTCAAGATTTATATTATATTGATTTAAAACTAAATCCAGAAACTTGAAAAATTTTAATGCATGAGTTAAAGACTGGTTTGATTTAATTTTAAAAAGTTAATTTGGACCAAGCTAGAGTAAGACAGAGGAAATAAGCAAATATCTACTATAACAGAATATAATAAAGGTGGTTGAAGTGGTTCTTTTTCTGGCAGAACAGCTTTTCCTTGGTGACATTTAACTAGATTACGATTCTTAAGGCCTATTGTGTTCATTTGAATAGGCTGCCTAATGCACCAACAGGCACCAAAAAGGTTTATGTAGCATTTTTGGCAGCTCACCAAAAGTCTGTCAGCTAGTTGTGTTGGGGTGCTATTCAGAATAAATGGCACTGCATAACCCCAATGCACTTACCACATGTTACCATGCATTACTATAGTGCACTAGTGTGAATGGGCCCTAAGGTTTTGTGTTTTTTTTTTTTTTTTTTGTTTTTTTTTTACTGTAACGTGTTTATTTTATTTTATATAAAAGCCACCCAACCCACCAAATAAAACATTCTTAAGACAAAAATATTACACAATAGCTTTAGTTTAAAAATATGACAATATCTAAAACTACTACTGTACAGTTCATATTTTTTTTCATGGTTCCGGCCAATGTTCACGCCCATTCTTCTTGCCTGCCTCACAAGTGGAGGATTCCGTAAGCACAACTTAGCTGCATCAAAAGTCTTTGGTGCTGTTGGGGCCAAAAAATTATTGGTAGCTCCTTTAAGCGATGGCATACTTAAGACATTGTGGTATTTCCATAAGACACGTTTGTTTTGGTTTTTTTTAAGGGTTGAGTTATGTGATAGTGGGGTGTGGGCTGGCTGTTGTAGTTCGCCACCACAGTCAGTCTTTGCACCTCTTCTTGCATGTTGTTGTCAAAATGTTATGTTAGTCTTTATGCTCTCTTCCGTCTTCCTTCAAGATTTCGGAAGCTCACGGGTCTGACTTTCATTTCTGCAAACTGAATGGAGTATTCGTGACCCTTCCAATGGAACCAGTTGACTCCCTGACTGTGGCTGTTGTCACCATATCTGCCCAGAAGGTTGACTCTGTGACAGTTCTTATACCAGAAAGCTCCTTTGTAGGACAAGGCACAGTTTGTAATGGCGGAATCGTTGTCCTTGTCATAGGTGGAAAATGGGCGTCCATCGTGATAGGTCATTGAATCTCCTGCTGTACCGCTGTAGCCACTGACTGAAAGTCTGTACCGCTTCTTTGAGTCTGCAACGCTAAACTTGTCATAGACAGCGTAAACCGTCTCCCCGTGGTCCCTGAGGTCCACACGTAACTCGTACTGTCCCTGCGATGTGATCTTGTGCAAGTTATCCAAACCCAAGAAGAACTCCTTAAATGAATCTCCAAATCCACTAGCATATGTCCTCCAGTTTTTGTAAAAATCTTCAGAACCATCAATTCGTCTTAAAAACACAATCCATCCTCCACCATCAACATTCATGTCACAGTAGACTTCCATGGGTTGAGACTGATCGCCGTTGGCATATATGGTATACATTCCTGACTCTGTTTCTCCATTCAGAAGGGCTTGCGAGCAGTCTCTAGGCAATGGATACAGACGCCCAGTTGTTGTGAATTCAGTTTGGATGAATTTACTCTTGACATTTCCATTTATGGACTGCAGTCTTACAGTGTATTTAGCAGATGGGCTGAGATCTAGCAATCTGTATGAAGTAGCATCAGGCCCCAGAGCGACTTCCTTGACTGTTCCATCTACAGACTCATAGATCAGCAAGAAACCGGTAATAATGGATCTTGGGGGTCTCCACGTGACCAGAGCTGAGTCGGCCTGGAGTTCACTTGCAGCTAGATCTCTAGGGCCATCCAATGCGGTTGTGAAGGTCGTAGAGATTTCCTTGCTTCTAAAGAGTCCTCTAACAGCGTAGATTTTTAGTGTGTATTCCATAGCCAGCTGAAGTCCAATAATATTGTTTTCCACTGTGTTTCCTGAAACCGTTACATCCATAGCAGGAGCGTTCTTTGCTGAGTAGGAGATAACATAATTGTCCACAGAAGCCAAAGAGGGTTTTCCACAGTGCTAAAGCCTCAGACTCTGTGACATTGATGGCCCGAAGTGCTGATGGACTGTCAAGGGCTGTGGTCAGAGAACCAGAAGCAGGTTGGCTTTGTTCACTTCCTTTCACGGACACGATGCTTACAAGGTATTCAACTCCTGGCAAGAGGTTGACCAAGGTAGTTTGTGTTCTTGATCCATCAACTTCAACTGTGCTACTGGCCCCTCCAGCCACAGGAACATATGTGATGACGAATTTGTTCACCCGTATTCTTGGAGCTAGCCAGATAACTTTGGCAGATTTCTCAGTGATATCAGAGAAGGATAGTCCTTGTGGAGATCCCAAACCTGTTGTTGCCTCTCCTTTTACCGGTGGAGAGCACTGACCACTAGCAATACCATGCAGCTCAATCTCATATTCAGTGCCATCTCTCAGTCCCGTCACTGCGCTCGTGCGTTCACCGCCCGGCACTGTCAGAACAACCAGTTCATGTTGGTGTTGAGCATCCTGTATTTTAATGATAAAGTCGTCAAAGCCACTCTCGTCAGCTGTCCACGACAGATGGAACCCATCGGGGGTTATACTGGAAACTTTGAGGTTTCCAACTTCAGGTTCTGATTCTGTAGTTGCCGAGACACTAATAGGCTGCGTTCGTTGACCGTGAACAATACCATAGAGGTAGATGGTGTAATGAGTACCCCTGAGATAAGAGTTTTCCTGAGATCACCAGGGACATTAATTTTCACTGGCTCACGTAACCTGTCCTCATCAGTAACCTCTACAACAAAGCCATCAAATGAATCTTGTGTTGCTGTCCAGGACAAGTCAAAGCCCTCGGGTGTGATACTGGTGACGGTAAGGTTGTCTACTTCTGGCTTGTTTTCTGTAACAGCTTCTCCAAAGAGAGGCACGGTGTCAAGTCCCTGAATCACCCCATGTAATGTGATGTTATATTTTGTGGCCGGCTTCAGGCTCGGCACTTCCAAAGAGCGAAGTTCTCCAGGAACCACAATGGTTTGTGGTTCTTCTCCATCCTTTAATTCCTGAACCTTAATCACAAATTTTTCATAGTTGTTGTCTGGCGCTATCCACGTGAGTTTGAAAGAGTCCCAGCCCACTTGGGACACCACCAAGCTGCCCAGCTCATGCGGAAGTTCGGTACGTCCAACCACAGTTGCTGGTTTGCTCTTGTGCCCCTAAGGTTTTGTGTTGATAGGCTTTTTTCATGTCACAACTGTTTCTCTCCTTTTACAGTACAAGTCAATGGAAATGCAAAAGGGGCTTGAAGCAGGTTGATGGAACTTAGAAGTAGGTTCCACAGGATCCACATAAAGAGAGAACCTCAAATAGTGTGATACCATTTTAATTATGCAGAGTAAATAAACACAGCCAATGCACTCACATTTGATTTCAGCTTTCTATTTGCATTAGAACCTCATGTATGGGTGTACTTGCATGGGTTCTATGAGAGTACAAAAATGGCGTCCACGCCGGAAGTTGCGTCACCACGTCACCTATGCGTTGCGTCATGGCACACCTGACTTCATCAGGGTATCACACTATTTGCGGTTCTCTTTTTATGTGGATCCTGTGGGAGCTGGTCATATCAATTAGAACCAAATAGAGGGAATATCGGGCTGATCTTGTCCTGGAAGGTTCTTACGTTTTTTCCCTGATATGAGATTGTTTGAAGAATATCATTAGAAGGAATCTGGTCTTGGAGGGTCCAGGAGTGACCCAAAAGTCTTGTAGGCCCTTTTAGGGTCATGGTAAGGAGGGTCGGAGCCATTTTAGCTGTGTGTGGATTCATCACCAGACGCTGCAACACACAAGATTACCTGCATGTTTTTTGTATTATTGTGGACACTGGTGTCACACATTTTTTGATTGGACTTGCGTTTATGTTGTTATAGGGGATTTATTTGTTCATTTTTGCCTATTCTGCCACTGAAAGAATTGCTATTCATTGTTTTTTGTCTATTATGATTCAGATTGTATTTTTATAGGGGTTCTATATTTATCATTTGTCACTGTTATCATCATTCATTATTACACATTTATATATGTTGTTTTGAGTGTTTTATAACACTGAGCACTTTTTTCACCATTTGTAGTTACTTGTCCCCTAGTGCTGGGATCACGTGTGTGTTTCACTTTATTGACATATTCCATTTAGTTTTTCACTTTTGAGATCTGGATTATCCAGCACTGTTTTTTGCGGTATTGGATCACAATAGGTCGGATATAGACCATTTATATATTCACCATTTTTCACTCACTTATCCCACTAGGGATTGGTTCACTATTTAGTTTTATATCTGTTTAATTACATTTATTTATTAGAGCGCTACACCATATTTGTTTGCATTTTTAGCTATTTTTTTGCATGTGTTTTTTTGGGCCAATGGAAAGCAGTTTAATCTTTGACATGCCTAGTCATCGTTCACCTGCATTTGCTTCCAGGTTTTCCTGTGTGGTTTGCTGCATTGTTGTTTTATACTTTTTGGCATCTGCAGTGGCTGCAATATTGCTGTTAAAGAAAGAAGAAAAAAGAAAGACAAAGATACCCGATCCATCCCATAATTGATAATAAAGAAACGCACGTGCAGTTCTGAATCATGTACAATTCCATGCGCAAGATGAGAAATTCTTTGAAAACACACGGATGTCCATGAAAAGATGAGTTTGGCTGCCCATTCTCACAAAAGTTGATACTGGAAACTGTCACCTTGCATCTATTCGAATGAAGCATGCGCAAGGTGACATTGTTTATTCTACTTCTTGCCAGCTAACAGCCACATTTTTTTTCTAGAGTCTCAACGTTGCTGAGCTTGATGGGATTACCCTCTAGTCCAGCCCTTCATGACCTTTTTTAACACAGAGGAACCCGTGAATTAACTTTCCAGTCTCAGGAAACTAATGCAAAAAATTACTATTTCTACAACTAATTAGTGTGATGGTCAGTGGGAATAATGCTCCTTACAACTGAAGTAATAGGGAAGAATCACCACCTTATAGATAGCTAAAAAGATCAATGGCATCCCTGGAAACTTATCTAAGAGGCAAACATTGCTCAAGGAACCCCTAGTAACCTCTGAAGGATCATTATCTATGCAGCACATGAGCTGGGCTAGTACCTACAGGGGAGTTGAGCTTGGATATTGGGAGTCTCTCTACCTTGAGCAGCGGTAATACATAACCTCTGAAGGAACCTAGGGTTCCATGGAACCCTGGTTGAGAAACCTACTCTATGCATTTGAAGGGACAAGACTTTTTTGGCATAGTATTCCACCAGTGGAAAGACTAAAACTCCCATTGAGGAAACCCTCCCATTCAAGTTCCCCTGCAAACACCTAAAAAACACACAGACATGCACGCAGGAAAATATAAAGTACACGCAGAGCTAAAAAAAATTGATTATACTGAAAACCTTTTTTTCTTCTTTTGCAGAACTGAATAGAACAAAAGTGGGTTCTCCAGTGGGAGAGTGAGCCTTAACAAACAGCTTAACTAACAATGGCTAAGAAACGTATGAAAACATGTAAATTGAATTCCATGAACTGAGAAATGCTATAAAATGTCCATGGAAAAAGGTGGAACATGCAGCATGGATGGAACAGTGTATGAGGTCCATAAGAAGGGCATGCTATCAATTTACAGGTGGTGGTGGAGATTGGTTAGGATGACAAAGCAAGGATAGAAGGTTGTGTTTTGTACACCTTTATGGTGGACTACTGGGATATTCTGGTTACCTATTTCGAACCTGAGGATTTTGGAGACTAAGAAAATGTATTTTGTTCTGCATTTTGTGCAAAAGCAACGCGAATACAGAAAATATATAAGTATATAGAATCTATTTGATGAAACACCATGCACAAAGCACTATATGCACCCAACTATGAAACCAGATTGGCAGTGACATTACTTATGATATGAGTATTCAGACATTAAAAACATTGCTGAAAAAAAGGAAGCCATAGAAAGAATCATTGCTACTATATGCAAATATGTTCTGAAACTATCAGTGACATTAAGGTTGAATTCAAACCCATCATTTTTCTCCCTGATGCGTTTCCCATTGAAATCTTTGGAAGCACAGCAAAAACCATGTCAAGGTGTGTTAACGTGCATTGACTTTAGTTGTGCTTTGGGTGTCAACATGCTTGCATTTAAGTGCATTGTCATGGTTTGTTGTGTGTCATGATGTGCTTTGAAGTCAATCTTTAAAGTCAATCTGTGCGCAGGCACAGCAGCCGATTCCAATGAATGGGCTACCATGCAAGCACAAACCTGCTCAAGTGTGAACTTTGCCTAAGTGAAAGAAGAAAAAATATGTGTGTTATTATGTTGCAATTCCAATTTACATGTTATCCAAGGTTTTGATGCACACCCATGTCTAGTTTAACTAGGAAGAGATTATCACCACATCAGATTTTGTGGCATACTTACATTTATATCACTGTTATAAATGTAACTTTTTTTTTTTTAGAACAATTAAATTTTTCTAAACATGTAATCATTATTGTGCAAACACATGATTTTCACAGTATAAACTATATTACCTAATAAACTATAAAACACAGTATAAAAGGTACTTGTATACTTATAGAGACCATTTAACCCAAAGATGATATTTCAGTGTTGAATAAACTCAAACCCTTCTTTGTGTAAAGTGCAGGGTGACAATGCTAGCTGGAGCATCGGTCAGTCTATTGCCTTTAGTTGCAGCCTATGCATTTAGTTACATTCTAGAGCTGGAGCTGGCGCTGGAATACATCATGTTTTAGCAGCTGACTTCAAATCATTGAGACTTTTGTAATTACACATTCTTAATAAGTAATAAATGAAATAAGTCCTCACTGACCTCTGTAACTGCAGACTCTGTGGAGAAATTAATCCTCACATCACATTTACAACATAAGTACTCTCATTTAGGACACTCTTAGCAGTTTAGTTCAACCTTCCCCACCATTAACTATGTCCAGCCACCCAGCCTTCCAGCCTTCTCATTTTAAGTAAATACAGAGATGGTGCTCTGAGTGGGTTAACAGGGTGAGCTGAGCTGCTGAGAGAACAGCTTGAATGAATTCAGCATCTGATATTGGTACTTGAATTTCCCAAGCATTACTTTAAGACCAGTGAGTTATATGAAAAAAAAATTACCCCATTTACACACTTGATGTGGATGGGGGAATCCTTCTCGCTGATTTATTGTATTCTGACAGCTAACAGACGTCCCCACTGTGCCACCCAGATGGCACTGAACGAGCTGGAAAAGCCCTACAGGGTAGTTGTACAGAAGTCCAATCACACCAGCGGCTACACTGCAATGCAGCGGTTGGTGTGCATTGCAGTGAAGACAGTGCTGATGGGCTGATCCCAAGGCATTGCACTGTTTACTTTTCTTAATAAACTTT